CCTGGACCCAAGGGTGTGCCATGCAAATTTTGGCTGCTTTAGCTCTTACAGGGACTGAATGCATAGAGAACAAACAAACATACAAACAAACTTTCTTCTTTATATATATAGATATCTGTGTGTATAATTATACGTATCAAAGAGGAAAAAATCAAGCAGAAAGAAAACTGACATTACAAGCAGAACGAATAAAATGCGGCATGTTTGAAGTCGAACGATGAACTATACCGTCGAATACAGTGGTATTCTAAGTGAGACTCATAAGATCCCATTTTTACGTGTACTCCGACAAGATCACGCTGATTCCGAATATGCAAAAAATCCCAAATATCGCTTCTCTAGAAAATATCATCAAATTTTGATATCATTTTTATGACTTTATTTTTCAGTAATCGCTCTCTTATAAGAAAGTTTGAACAACATGAGCCAGTCTATCTTCGAAAAAATGACTTTTACTTCTTATGTCTTTTAGCCATTTCTGTACATATTATCTCCGATTATCATGACCCGAACAGAAAGCCTGAACGTCCTGGTAGTCAAAGAGAGTTTTTCTAGCCGCTGAATATAAAAGAAGACAGTATGATTTGTTAAACGTTAATAGCAAATATTGAGTGCTACATGTCTCAAAAACTAAAAAGGGCCTTTTTCTAGAAAACACATCAGTATATAGTACAACTTGTATACTTCAAACTAGTATAAGAAGTGGAGATTGACTCTCTCTAGTTAATTTAATTTTAATTCGCAAAGTTGGCAGAATATCGGATGGGCACTACTTCTTTCGGACATCAAATAAATGAGCATATAGATTAAAATAGAAAGTTTGCTCTTTTCTATAAAGAGAAATAAAGCGCTGTGAACATATATAGGAGCACATAAGAAAAACATATGAGATGGAACCAAAATAAGATCAAAGGAAACAAAAGTGAATCCAGTGTGTTTGATGTCTACCGCTGAATATAGTGTAATATACCGTGAAAACCTCCAATGGAGCCACTGGCTCCAAGAAGTGGATGGGATCCAAACAAAATCTTTGCGCCATACAACGAAAGGCTTCGCGCTGATTACGAATATGTAAAAATCCCAAGTTACTCTATCTAGAAAAAAACCATCAAATTTTGATCTGGTTTGGTTGATATGCCCACATTATAATTTATCTCATTGTGTAATCGAAAGAGAGCATCAACAAATACAATGAACTGTACAGTATCTAATGGTTTGTTATATCTTTGTTTATATTTTTCACTTAGTGAATCATATTCTTGTTTATAATAAGATTTTAAATGTTTTGCATAGAGTACAAGTGAACTCATTGTTTGAAGATCACTAAAGAGCATTTCGATATTTGGATGTATTTGATTTGTTGAAAACCATTGATGAATATCATATTCATTTTCTTCTACTACATTATCTTGATGTACAAGTGTTTTGCTTGGTTGTGATGATAAGTGTTCTTGATCTTTGACCATTGAAATTAATTCTGTAACATTTGCATCGAGATGTTTCTTACCAAAGTGAACAAAGTTTTGTCCGGCAATACGTATACCAAGCCATCCACTCGGTTTAAAACTTGTCGGTACAGTACTCGAATAAATTGGTATAATACGCTTTTTCAAAGTATCGGTTGCATAGGACAATTCTTGACGACAAGCTTTACTATCATAGTAATCTTTTGATATTATAACAATTATGACGGATGCTATTTCAATGGCATTCGCAATTTCTTCCCATATATCATCTGAATGAGAAATACTATGTTGTCGTGAGTCCTGATCAACATAAGAATGATTATGTTGAAAATCGACCCACATATCGAGTTCATTTGTCATCTGATGTATCTTTTTAACAAGTTCTTGACAAAATGCCAAATCAATGTGTGAATAACTGATCATTGCCAATGGCCATTGAGATTGTGTCGCTGTAATTAATGGCGATGTATTCAGCAATTTTACATCCGCTACATTCCATAAGATTCCTTCACATGCTTTTTTAATTGATGACAAGTATTTCGGTATGCATTGATGTGGTTCCTGATTACAAACACCACTTTCTGTACTAGGAACATTGGATAATGTCTGAATTAATTTCATTAATTGACCATTATTTTTAAGTGATTCTTTATATTTATCATGAAATGAAATACTCCATAAGATATTACATAATGAAAGTTTCGGTAGACGATCGCTGTTATCACGTAAATGAAACTGAATTAATAACTGGCAAAAGAAATCTAGAACACTCATCGATTGTGCTTGACAATGTGTTAAAACATATTCTAGTATAATATCATTAATAAATAGCTTTGCGAACACTGTAAGAGGTTCAGAAATATGAAAACAATTATAAACGTAAATCGACGTTTGTGATGCTTTAACTATTGTTTCGACTAGTTGATTAAATATTTCTTTTAAGCGATCGTCTATCTTTCGTGAACAATTCTTCAATCGCTCTGGATCGACTAGGAGTGAAACTGTCATACAAATAGGAAGTTGTATTTTCCAATATTCATTTTCAGAAAGATACGATAAAATTTCTCTATCGTTTAATTTTTCAATAACTTCAATTGCTTTTAAATCATTTAATACTTGAGATCCATTATAATCTCTGCTAATGTTATGAAGAATACATAAGATATATTGTAATGTTTCACTAGATAAGTTGAACTGATTGGATGATTCCACGGTACGAATCCATTTTAAACATAATTCTGGATATTGACAATCAATGAATAACGAAATGAGTACAGTCTTCTTGCTTAGAACTTTTAGAAAACGTAATATTTCATTAGAAACGGAAGAACGTAGTTGATCATCGTTTTCCAAATATTCACGAAATGATTCTAATGATGATTTACAAATCTCTATATTTTTGTCTTTACACAATAATAAGGAAACCGATGAATATGTTAATATTGGAAGCAGAATATTTAATAAATTATCAAAGAATTGTTGACGTGATTGTGCACTTTGATGTAAATATTTTTGTAGTTGATTGGAATTGGTGAGTTCCAAATAACTTTTATTAGCTTTTTCTGCATATTCAACATCTGTAGGAAAAAATGTATACAAATCAATATCTTTGCTTAGTTTCGATACAATTTGGAGGAATACGAGTAGATGTGGTAGAAGGACGAAACTATTAATATTTTCACCAATTTCAACTGTATGAATTAATTTTTCTAACGCATGATGTATAAGTTCGAGTTTGGTTTTATCGGTCGTTGTTTGTTGTACTTTAGTTACAAACGATGGTGTCAGTTTTGTACTTAGACGATCGATAAAGGGTATAACACAATCATAATCAGTGTATTTAAGTAGAATTTGTTCTAACTGATTGAATATAGTACAAAAATCAATCGTGACATCGGCTGACACTGCTGTGTTATTGTCATTTATTTCGGACATGAATGAATGTATGTGGGTGGCAGCTAAAAGTAAAAAATAATAAGGAAAAGATGCACAAAGAAAAAAAGGATGGATGACGGTAGAGATTGTGTTTAAAAGTTTCGTTTTTAGTAAGGAATCTAAAGAGTGTTACAGAAAGTATAGCATAGTTTTTCTCTTCTCCCTTTGAACTCACAGAGCTCATCTTATTACAAAAATATTTTCTATTCATTTCTCTACAAAATGGTGTATAGAAGATGATCCTAAGGCTTGAGACGCTGTCTTAGTTGAACAAACATCGAAACTGAATATTGCTCAAACAAAATTAAACCAATCAGCCTCGTTTTGTAGACAACTGTAGGATTTACTCGACTCACTGTGCGAAACGATTGACGTTAGTTTTCTGAATAATGAAGATATTGAAACTAGTGCATTTTGTTCAGTAATGGCTGCCAGTTATTAACTAGCCATTTTTGCCACATCAGATCGATGAGAAGGAAATGAGTCTTGCGCCATCTGAAAGAGGACATCTAAACGTCCTAAGATATGATGTGCTATCTTCTTCGAATCATTTTGAAAATGGAATTCAAACTTTAAAATTATCGTCTGAAAAAATTTTAATTTTTTAATTTGTTCGAGCATTTTGCTGTTTGTTGAATTAAGACTTGGGTTGTTAATTTAGTTGTACTGTTCATTTATAATAACGGATAAATATAAATGAATGATTTATATTTAAAAAATAAATGTAAATAAATGAAAAAGAAATTTATGTTTATTTTATAAAAGTAAATAATTCATTTATATTTATTTCATTACTTCTGAGCAGAAGTAATGAAATAAATATCAATGACGAATTTATCTTTATTATTTAAGTATGTAATGATTCATTTACATTTAGTGCCTAAAGTAACTGAAAATGACCATCCCTAATTAAGACAGCGTCTCAAACCTAAGAATCAGCTTGTATACACCATTTTGTAGAGAAATAAATGGGGAATCTGTTGGTAATAATATGAGCTCTATGAGTTTACAGAGAGAGGAGGAAAACTGAAAATAAAAACTACTCCATTCTTTCTGTAACACGCGCTATAGCTTACTTAATAATAAATATAGATAAATATAATTCCACACTATAATTAAAGAATCTTTTGCTTTAGCGTAACAAAGAAGGATCTTTTCTAACGTAAGAATCTCGCTTTTCTTCTTTTTTCTGCTTGGTAATATCATAGAACGCTAAAGCGACGTAGTAATACTTTATGGTTGAAAAATAACGACACCAAACACAGAAAAGAATAAAGTATCGTTTATTTTCAATGTCTTTTTCAATCGGAAAGCAATTATCACATAATTTCGTCATTAATTAGATTGAAAGTCTAATTCTAGAAATAAACATTTGCACAACACTGTGCATCTTTAACTATGATTTTTTTTCGCATGTGGGAGACCATCGATGCAAAGAGAATGCACATTACTATCGAACGGCTAAATGACATTTCATTTATCCCTCTTCTTATGACAGAAATGTTTAGATAAATCATACATCACACTTGGATATAAAAGGACGATAGAATTATTAAATACACAATAAGAGAGAAAACTGAAGGCATAAGAAGAGCGTAGTTAGATTTAAAAACAGAATAGTAAGGCTGAAAAGAAAAATAATCTCGTATTATGAATTCTAGATAAGTTGCACATGTTTCCTTAACTTTAGTCTAGGATCTTACAAACTCGTTGTCTGTGTGTCCGCAAAAAACGGAAAAATGGCTGTCAGATATTCTATGGACAAGCCCATCACAAGAAAGGAAGACAAAATATTCTTTTTTAACTACGAGAGAGAAACTATTCAAAGAGATGATCTAAATATCTACTGATGCAGAGAGGAAAAAACCTAAGCAAACGTTTTTATTTGTGGTTCGGAGACTGATGTCGCGAGAAATCAATCATTTTTGAAAACAGAAAAGGGAGATCTACGGACAATGAAACTTACAGAATATAGATAGTCTGCCATTGCGAATCGGTCACGGATGCTTCGAATCCCCTAGGTATCTTCACAGAGTGTCCAGAAAACGTTTTAGCTTTATATTACATTGTTCGCTTTTTCCGGTAAAACAGAGAAGTTCACAACATTTCTCAGCTATCTTGAGTGCGAATGCCGACCGAGGAAAGGCGTGAGTATCGTCTTGAATTTAGAAATCTCTTTAGACCTTTGGGAATCTTTGGAGAGTCGCGAGAAAACCTTTTAGGTTTATATTATATTTGGAAGCTTACATATAAAATCAGAGAAAATTTCATAGCCTATATTAGATAGTAACCTAGCGAACGCCGAACATGCACAACTTATAATACCAGAGTAGTTTTCTTTTCGGCCTTGCTATTCTGTTCTAACTACGCTCTTCTTATATCTTCCGTTTTCTCGCTTATGCATCGATGGTCTCCCACATGCGAAAAAAAATCATAGTTAAAGATGCACAGTGTTGTGCAAATATTTGTTTTTAGAATTAGACTTTCAATCTAATTAATGACGAAATTATGTGATAATTGCTTTCCGATTGAAAAAGACGTTAAAAATAAACGATACTTTATTCTTTTCTGTGTTTGGTGTCATTATTTTTCAACCATAAAGTATTACTACGTCGCTTTAGCGTTCTATGATATTACCAAGCAGAAAAAAGAATATTATGGTTTTTGTTTCTTCGTATTATGTTTTTGTAGCTATACTATATGCAGAATACCTAGTACAAGAGAAAAAGAACGAAGACGCGTGATTATTGTTATTGCGTTTTTGTAAATACGAATATCTGACCACATTGTCGTATTTATAACGTTAATATATTTGTTACAAGAAGTTTCACGATCAATTTAACATGAAGTTCGCACATTGACGAAAATTTACGTCAAAAGAAAAGAGTCTTAAATGAGTTCTATTTTGACATGTATAGTAGTACTGTTTAGAGATGCACCTTTTATATAAGTCCTATTTACGGCAACGTGCGTTTCCTTCGGTTTATTTTTACACACTCGTAGCTTCTTGCGCCTTATTATTCGGAGCTCGCTAAACGAGTAAATGTTTCATAAACAGAGTTTCCTGCGCTTTTCTGGAATGACTACGGTTACGGTTAACCGATGAGCGCTTGTAACCGATAGTCATGGTATCTTTCGAGAAGTTTTCTAACAAATAACTTTAAAATTTCAGCGTTCGTTTTATTTATTTCAAATAAGCTGTTTACCGAATAGGCAGTTTGCGGTTCGTGAGAATCTGGAGTCTTTTCCTCCACTAGATAACCAAGAAAAAGTATTTTAGAGCGACACTTCTTTCCCCCATACCATCCCTTGTCATCGGCTGACGATGCCTCCCCCCACCCGGTGACGTCATCAAAATGGTTTTGTTCGAAAAAAGCCCGATTTTCATAATAACCGTGATTATACTACTGTTCCTTTTCATTTCGTTCTTCATACTGTGAAGAAACACTTTCTCAGAAAACTAAAGATCTGCTACAACAAGCTTTTTGTCCATAGATATAACATTCGAATTGTCTATTTGTTTATGGACAAAAGAATTCTGTCTTTCTTCATGCTCTGTCCATGAAGTAACTATACAGACGTTTTTCTGGTGTGATTGTTTTGTGTAATTTATTTATTTGTAATTTCATTCATTTCTTATGTAAAAACCTACAAGTGACAGCGAATTTCATGTCAAAATATATCTGCATCATACTAACAAGAAATGGAATGATTCTCTTCTGTCCATGATTACATATAGGAAATATTTTCTTTTGCGAGCTTTCGCTCTCTCCGGGAGCATCAGCAGGCAATTTTTTATTAAAATTTCGTTATTATTTCCATCTACTATAGAAAAAAGTGGGTCCAATTAACTGTAGTCACTTCTGACACGTATTATTGATCATATTCTCGAGTGTGTCTCTCTCGGTCTCATACCTTAGTAGAACTATCATATGTTACTCGAAAGCTCTTTTTCTGAGCTATATTTTTGTATATCACATATACGGAAGTAGTCGTTCTGAGGCCAAGTATGTTTAGAAATACTTCGGTCTATGGAAAATAATCTCCTATGTGCAAACAGTCTAAGATAATCTATGACACCCTTTATCATCTAGCCACCACGATAGATATACCAATCGATAGACAATTTCTCGCGCTACAAGTTCATACATATATGATAGTGAAAAAACTGTCCTAGGATCCGTTAACATTAGAAACATCTGTAAAGCCGTGAAAAGCGGGTGACTTATTCCACGGTGAGGATCCCATGATCCACGTTTCTCAAATAGCCACTCCGATAGATATACTAATCGATAGAGAGTTTCTTGCGCTACCATTTCATGTATGTAACATAGTGACGCAAGTGTCCAAGGGCATTTTAACATTAGAAATACTTTCTGTAAGAGCGTGAAAAGCGGCAACTTATTCAATGATGAGGATCCTATGATCAACGCTCCCCATCTAGCCACTACGATAGATATACCATTCAATAGAGAATTTCTCGCGCTACAAGTTCATGTATATATGATAGTGACAAAAGTGTCCTAGGGTATCTTGACATTAGAAATACTTTCTGCAAAGCCGTGAAAAACGGGTGACTTATTCCACGATGAGTATCCTATGATCCACGTTTCTCAACTAGCCACAACGATAGATATACCATTCAATAGAGAAATTAATGAGCTTCAAAATAAGCTATAAATAAATCTTTCAGAAATATGTCCACATGGGTCAACAGTTGAAACAGTTGGCCGATATAATGATTTCGACATATCCTAGTGCTATCAACACTTCGTTAGTCGTTTTTCTGCCATAATGAAAATTATGTGTTGTTCGAAAACATACCACTGGATAGCCCTTGAAATTCTCTAGAAAGTCAGCTGATCACAATATCCAGACAGGTCGGGCCAACCATTAAAGATATTTTGGTAATAGACCTTCTGGAAAACCTGACCGCTGAAAAACCAAGTCCTTAGTTTTTAGTGAGAAAATTTTGCAAACCATATACCCTGATAAAGCGAAACATTCTGAGGAAGATAAGGCTTCTCCGGGCATTCTGTAGTGCTTTTACGTGCAACTGCAGTCGATTTACGACTAGCCAAAAGGGGCGCGAAAGATACCAAAATATTTCGGTGAAAAAGCATTTTCAAGAAACTCTTTTCTCAAACGTAATTCCTATTAGAAAAAGATAAACTATTATAGATAGCGCAAGACAAGACTTCCACTTACTATCTCATAATTAAAATGACCTTACGCAAATATTTTTCCATACACACTGTTTGAAATGGAAAAAACAACTAAATATATCACATTGAGGAAATACAGTAGCAAGCGCATTTTCGGCCGCTTTTTCAAAATCTAATCTTCAAATTTTCTGTACAATAATTTTTATAAAATATTATCGACGTTTCGTTCAGCAAACTACACCAATAAAATCTAGTTGATGCTTGTAGGATAATCATTCTTACTTTGATCAAAGAATAACCAATATTTTAAAATTTTTTCGACCAATATACTCGGACGAATGGGCAACATTTTGATGAAAACCGTTTCCTGAAAGACCAATTGAAAACCGGACCTTCGTACGGTTAAGGGCAGCTCCTATAATCATATTCGGAATCAGCATGGTTGATAACCTATAACCCACTAGATTTCGATCAAAAAGCGTTTTATCATCTCGAGAGGTTCACTCGTCAGCAGAGGATTGGTCTTTCAGCAAACGGTTTTCATCAAAATGTTGCCCATTCGTCCGAGTATATTGGTCGAAAAAATTTTAAAATACTGGTTATTCTTGTCTGTGGGTCAAGGGGGTAACAGCAGAATTCCAAACAAGTTTTCCGAAAAAGAAGAGTCGAAAAAGTTTTCCGTACAACTTATGTAAGTGCATTTTTGACTCGTTAACGAATATTAAAGTTATTAAAACTATACCTGCGGTAAGCGGAGAAGATGACAAACATTTCGGTAGAAAAGATTTTCGAAAAAAACTTTCTCGGGGCCGACAGACCGATTTTAAGGTAAAGTTGACATGGTCAACATGTAAACTCTGTGCCTCGGTAACGAATGGATAAAATTTCTTTTTAGACCTACAGAAACTATAGGAGGGTTGATAATTTCGAACATCTGGAGACTGTGTCGGGGAACTTATATGATAAACGTATATGATATTTTATGGAAAAGATATAAGCTTAGTTCTGCGAGAAAGAAATCATGGAAAAAGGTAAAAGTCTTCAATTAATATCACTCACACATACTGTTCCACGAGCCATAGTACGACGCGCTGACTTTCAAACTATCAGCGCTACTTTGGAAAAATATTCACGGGACCACGGGACCGGGACTAAAAACCAGTTCTTTGCAGGGGACCGAGATTGCAGCAAAAAACTTTTTCCACGAAAGTTAGCATTGTGACGGCACGTTCGCTGTAAGTTTTTGAAATAACAAGTCAGGATCCTGCAGTATACCTATTTTCTCATTTATAGGTAGCTCCTAAGTTATTTGAACAAATGTATTCTATTCATGATTCAATACGCGGAAAAACGTTGCCGTTATTGTACGCCCTTTTACCAAATAAAACTCAAGGAACAGATGAAGAATTATTTAAAATAGTTGATCAGTACATTCAACACAAACCAAAATATGTAACAATTGATTTTGAAAAAGCGGCCGAAAATGCGCTTGCTACTGTATTTCCTCAATGTGATATATTTAGTTGTTTTTTCCATTTCAAACAGTGTGTATGGAAAAATATTTGCGTAAGGTCATTTTAATTATGAGATAGTAAGTGGAAGTCTTGTCTTGCGCTATCTATAATAGTTTATCTTTTTCTAATAGGAATTACGTTTGAGAAAAGAGTTTCTTGAAAATGCAGATAGTCGTCACACAATGAAAAATTTAGTCGCATTAGCCTTCGTTCCACAGCAAAATGTTATTCAAGAATTTTACTCAAATAAAAGAAAATGCGCCAGACGTATTAGATGGTAAGCAGAAGAAAATGTTAGTATGTATACATAGAGACTTCATCTGACATCTTTAACTTTCAGAGTTATTCGTGTACTTTGAAGACAATTATACTGGCAGAAAAATGTCAAGAAATCGTAGAAGAAATCCTCGTTTTAGTGTGTTAATGTGGAATTGTAGTTGTGTTTGTTTATTTGCAAATCAAAGACTCCTCGATATCTAAGCTGATCGAGTCGCGATACATTCAACATAGATTAACGACAAAAAAAGGCGAAAGAGGACAATAAACTGCAAGCTAAGGTTGAGACGCTGTTCACAAATCTAAAAATGCCTCGGGATAGCAGAAAAAAATTTGTAATTCGGGTTTTATAGTCCGAAAGCACCGTCGGAAGAAATTAAAGGAATGACGATAGGAAAGCAAAATTTCCGTGGAAAGAGAAAAAATATGCCGATATCGACGTATTAAGAGGCTTTTCTGTTGATTAGTGGTACCAGAATCTAAAATTGTTTTGTACTTGTGCCATGTTCGAATTAGTGCCACCGAGTCAGTCAAGTCAGGCAGCACTAGTAAATATTTTATCCAGTAAGAAAAAACTCG